AGAAAGCAGTTAGTCCAGAGGACTAATGGCCCACATGAACCACAGCCTCCTCCAGCATGAACAAGAAAAAGCAGACAGTGCCTGGCTACCACTAGCGACTGCTCTGATCAGAAAGACAATAGAAGGTTCAGGTTAGAATGGGTGAAAAATGTAGAACAAAATTCAAATTCATAAAAAAGACCAGACCTACTGGTCTGATAGAGACTGGAAGAACCCCCGAGACTACTGTCCTAAGACACTCTTCTAACTTGGAACCTGGAGGCCATCTTTCAGCCAAATAATAGACTGGCCTGTAAAATAAACATTAACATCTGTGAGGAATGTGTTCCTCAGAACAATCAACTATACAGAGACCAAAGGGCAACATTTGCCCAAAAGCAAAGATGAGAAGGAAGGGAGAGGCAGGAAAACTGGATGAATGGAAACTGGGAACTGAGGGTTGAAATGGAGAGCGTGTTGACACATTGTGGGGACTGCAACCAATTTCACAGAACACTTTGTGTATAAATTACTGAGTGGGAAACTAATTGGCCCTGTAAACTTGTAAACTTTCACCTAAAATACAATAAATAAATAAATAAAATGGCTGAGTTTTCTTTACTCTTTTATACTACTGTATTGTAACCTGTATTGAAGTTCCTTATGTTCATGTCTTACCTTTTTTCCTTTTCTCCTACTACCTTCCAGAATGCAAGGCCCCTTTCTTTTTAATCTTTGAATCGAATTATTGAATGGAAAACTAATTTGCTGTATAAACTTTCACCTAAAGCACAATACAATGTTCAAAAAAATAAAAATTCCTTCCATAACACTTTATTCTTAGCTTGCCTGTAAGTACACCAGGGGAGCCCAAAGTCTGAACCATACCTGCCTCACTTGCTACTTTCTCTGGGCCAGGGCCTTCCAAGCAGAACTCAGTGATGCACAGTAGAAAATGACAATCCAACAGTCATATCTCCCAGGTGCTGACGGCCATTTGCCTACTCACTTCAATTTTATCCCTGAAATAAAACCAATTCAGAGCCAAGAAAAACACACAACACAATCCATTTTGCTCACCCAGAACATCTGACATGGCTGACAAGAAGCAAAGTTACTTGAAATGCCTTTGCTACCTTTGTTTACGAGACGATAAAATATTCCTAAAACAACACATGATAAATAACTGGCATTCCAAAGCCATGCTTCTCTGGAAATTTGGCTGCAACGACTCAGGTGGAAAGCAAGATTTCCCTTCTCCTCAGCAGGAACCGCGGGATGAGGTCATTTCTCTGCCGCTGGCTGTGCTCCCAATGACTGAATACCCCAACACTACTGCAGTCAAACCAGTCAGCCCCATCTCCCGTCCCTGAAAAACCAACCTCCGTGATTGGTTATCAGATGTTATCCACGCTAACTGTTATCCATCTTGAAATGAGTTCACTTAAACCAGCAGCTGGTTAGATAAGCAGTCACTGTCAATAAAAGCCCTTCCTCACAAATCCCAGCGGTTCAAGACTCAACAATCAAATAAGTGATGCCTACTTCTCCACCAGCTTCCAATTCAAAGGTATCTGACCTGAGTGTGGCCCCACTTTCACTGGTAAGTCAACCAGGAATCATCTTCACTGGGAATCACAATTTACCACTTGCTGTTTGCCTGATACTTTGAGAAGGGCTTCCCTGTGCAGTTTCTTATTTGATCTTTACCGCACTCTGTGAGGCAAGTGGCCTTAGCCCTATTTTACAGATAAAGAAACTGAGGCTCCCAGAGGAGACAGGCTGGTCGCAAGTCCTCTGGCTGGAATGTCCTCACTGCCCTTCATGTGAGCTCCTGCGAGGCAATTCCCAGAGCCCTCAGAGGCAGCAGTCCTGGCCCTCTGAGCATAAAGCGCTCTGATTTCACCCAATGTGTAGATTTAACAGGTTTTTTCATGCTTAGCAGGCTTGCTGCTGCCACCCAGAGGGAGGAGAGAAATAGATGTGGGTACATTCCAGGTTAGATCATGCCCAGGGAATCACAGGGCTAGGGCGGGGATGTTACAGATGTGGGCTACAGCCAGTGATTCACTCCCTCCAACGAAGAAAGGTGTGGGGCGGGAGGAGGAGAGAGAGGAAGAGACGGAAAAGGGAGAGAAATGGAAGGGGGCTGGAAGGAAGGAGCTAGAGAAGGAGATGGGGGAGAGGGGAGGAAGAAAAGGGGAAAGAGAGGTAAAGAAGGCGGAGGAGAGGGAAGGGAGGAGGAAGAAGGTAAGAGGATAGGGAGAGAGAGGGAAAGGAGGGGTGGGAGAGGGAAGAAGGGGGAGAGAAGGGAGAGAAGAAGAAATAGATGTTTGGTAACATCACGTAGATGAGCCATGAGGAAAAGTTTGATGAGAAAACACCAAACCAGCAGAAGCTGGGAACCATCACCTGGCAACGCCTCATCCTGGGAGGCCAAATGCTCCCTCACAGAGAGCTGGGGGTATGGACAAGGCGTCCAGTCAAGCCCCTCCACACAGAGCTCCAGCCTTTCCCCTGTAAGGACATGACGGGAAAAGGACTGAAGTCAGAAACCTAGAATTCAGGTCATTGTGTGACCTGGAGGAAGTCATGTCAGCTCTCTGAGCTTAGACTGTCCTGTAAAATAGGGGCCATACGATTTATACTGCCAACTGCGCAGGGCGGCTGTGGAGATGAAAGAGATAATGCTGTGACCGTCACGGAAGAGGAAGAAAAAGTGCTTGGTAAACATAAAAGCATCATTCGGATCTAAGGGATGAGGAGGGGCCCAGGAACTGGTGCTGGGGTTGGGTTCTTTCTGAAAGAGATGCCCAAGTTAACGAGTTTGGCAGTTACCCCTGGAAAAGATAAGAGAGTTATAAAATAATAATAATATTAATTACTGTAATTCAGTAAATCCTTGGGGATTTGGGACAGCCAAAGAGCTGAGTATATATTTAAGTACATTTCTAAAGGAAAAGATGCGCTTTATTAATTTCCATCTCTTCCTACCACTGAAAATTGGTCAAACTTTGTCCGTTAGATCCCTCCAGATACATATAAGAAAACTGCAGAAAAACAAAAGACAAGTGAAGGAATAAATACACCAGAAGATGGAACTATGGGATAGGAGCCACCTCTGTCCCCACCTGTTCCACAGAGATACTGGCTGTAAGTGTCCACTCACAAATGACTTCTGTCATGTGATATATCCAAAACCACCCACTGGTTTCTCTCCTTTCATCCACGTTTTCTGGTCTCCAAACCAGCAATCACCTCTACCTATCCAAAAGTAATCTCTTGCTACCACTGCATAATCCCAGCCTTTAGTACACTCTAGCTAGCAGGGACCCTCTAATACCATCACTGGGGTATTTAGAGCCCAGACAGGAGAGCGAGAGGACAAGAAGAGAGGAGGAAAGGCTTCAAAGTTAAGTAGTCCTTTAAGGCTACATCAGTGGGCATTTCCATGAACGTGGGTTATAATAAAATGGGAAATGAGTCAGTAAGCAATCCACAGCATGTAACCCATCATCTAGCACAAAGCTCTCATCATTATTTTTGTTGTTGGATTCCAGTGGGTGGCCAACGTTTCAGGGGAGAAGGCCAGGCCCCAGCAGCGTTGCTTCCTTCTCCTCAATGAACAGGTTTCAAAGATGAAAATAAGTAATCCAGCCCACCCTTGCCAAGCTCATACAAGACATTTTCACTATTATGTATTGGTCTGGCACCTCAGGGAGTTCCAAGGGAATGAACGCCTATCTCTGGACTTCCACATCAACCACATATGCTCACTGGTTAGAGGGAGGACAGCATGGTCAGGCACTCCTCTGTAACAACTATTATTTACTGTGAGAAGGGAGAAGAAACAGATCACTAGCAAAACAGTCTACATTCCTGCCCTTCCCTCTCTGTTTACAACAGCAAAGAAAATGGGATTTAAATCTCAGCTTACAGGACATGCATCATTGCTCAGATGATCTCAGTCAGAGGCAGATGAGATCAAAAGAGAGTATCTTTGTGCCAAAACTACCAAGCCGTTCCAAACCTTGGGGTGTTTACTGCAGCCTTCGTGGGGTATGCCAATCTGGCAGCCTTTGCTGGGTTGCCTTTGGAACAAAGCAGGCTTTCACCCACAAACAGTTTAATAGGACTTGAAAAATAAGCACTTACTCTGAACAAATGGAAAATGGATGCATGTGGCTCTGGGCCACCAGGCAGATGAAATCCCACTTCCATGAGCTATGCCCCAAGGTTTGAAGCTCTTAAAAATGAAGAGGGAAATGAACAACTTTGTTCATTTTCCAAAGGCTGGGACCCGTGTCCCTTCTGCCTTTCAAAGCACTCTTTGACTATTCTAGAAGGAGGGGAACAGGCCTCCAAAGGAACGAGATACCTACTGTTGGTCGTCATGCACATCTATCCTGCAGCACAATGTCAAAACAAGGGACAACTGAGGAGACTTGGAACAGAATCATCGCATTTCTCACAAGAGCAACACAACCAGGAAAACAAACATCAAATGCATTAGAGAGCTATCCCTTACACTCAGGTTTTTAAGACTTTCTTAAACCCTTTCCAAAGGCAACTCAAATAGAAAGTGTTCTCATGTGGCATTATAGCCACGCTTACTTTCAGGAACACTGTCTGAGATTTGGTGAATCCAATTCTCTGAAATGATCAGCCACAGAAAGGGAGATAGCCTTGTGTGCCAGAGTTTCCAATTCATGAAACTGAGGCAGGACCACCGTCATGGAGAAAGGGCATCACTAAAGCTCAGCTCCCATCAACTCCACACCACCTTGTCTTGGGCCTCCATACTTGTGACTCATGTTCACTGAGACACCCTCCTCTTTCCCCTCCTCCCATCTCCAAGTCTCCAGGTGGACAAGAGACAAAAAGGGCCTATGCTCATTCTTTGAAAAAAAATTTTCAATTCATATTTAAAATTGTTTGATATTATAATAACTAGAGACAGCATTATAAGGCTTTCTACTTTCCTTCTTTAGAAAGTGGATTAAAAAATAAAGAAAGCTTACCCATTTTTGAAATAGAGGACATGGGCTCTCTGAAGTCCTGTTTCTAGGAAAAAACCTAGTTCTTGATCGTGGGGAGCAGGGCCAGGCTTAGGACTTCTGTTCTGAATATTAGAAAGTATTACCTAGAAGGGGAGAAAATTGGAAAACTAATCAAATGCACATCCACGCCCACGCCCTTCAGACCCTATCTCTAAATGTACCACAAAACTTGAAAAATCAACTTCCTAATGCAAACATCAGTGCGTAGGCACAGGTGCAAGTATTAGAAAAGTAGACAGTGGCTCCAATTAGACAGAGAGCTACCAAGAGACCCAGGGGCACACATGGCCCTCCTGGCACCACAGCTGAGGAAGGAAGGGTGCTGATGGGTAGACGGTGCCAGGAAAAGCACTAGAGGTGGGGTGGCTCTGCTGACTGCCAGGATATCGACAGAGAGGCTGAGGGACACAGAATCAGGTCCCAGCAAAGGACAGACATAGTCATCGCCCATCAATGGCCGAGGTCACTGACAGGTGGGCTGTAGCTTCAGCCCCAACACGAGTTTGATTGAGCTCCAACAGAAGCTAAGAACTGCTGTGATCAGCGCTGGCCCTGGAGCTACCCAGACAAGGCAAACTCACCAGGCTACAAAGCTGTGGCCTGTGGACTGAGCATCTATTCTCAAGGGAAGGACTGAGAAATACAACCTCTGTTCCCTCTCTCACCAAACTTGACCCCTTGCTCAACAGATAATGACGCTTTAAAAGTTTAAAATTTTAGCCTTGAAAGAAAGACTGTCAATTAATCAGAAGAAGCCTTCCAAGTTGTGTACATTATAGTGAAGTGTAAATATATATCTGCTATTACAGAGGCTACTCCTTTAAACTCACAAGCCAAATAAAGCATCTATCAAACAGAAACCAACTTGAGGCCCATTTAAAAGTCTAACAATGTCTCCAAACATGCTATCCATGTTTGCTGTAAGTTAGCAGTTTTACAAAACAACCAGTTGTTAGCCAAACCCCAAGTATTGCAGACGTCTTGAAATTATTCTCCAAATGGAACTGAAGCAATTAATTGCTAGTTTCTAACTCATGATTATTGGGAAACAAAAGTAGAAGGCACACAATGGACAAAAGGTTGAGAAATGAAATGAAACTCAGGGCAGCCCTTGATCGAACTGTATTCCATCATCTTAACAAAAGCATCTGGCTCCTTCACGACCTAGCACTTGTCTGCACCATTCACATCTCCAGGTATTCCTCCAACTCCTGGGTCCCCACACCTTCCCCTCTACTGTAGGTTCCTCCTCCATCCACCCTCTGAATGCTGAAGATGCACAGAGCAGGGTTCTGGGCACTTTTCCTTTCTCAAGTCTCTCTCTAGATGACCTCGTCCATTCCTATGGGGCTTCAAAAATCATCCATAAGCTGACAACTCCCAAACTTATGTCTCTAACCCAGACTTTCCCTCTGAGGGTCAGACTCATCTAACCAACAGCTTCCTTGACATCTTCACTTGGAGGCCCAACACTAAAACTTCTAAAAATTATCCTTCATTTGCCTTACCAAAAACCAAACCCTTTGCCATCGAGTCGATTCTGACTCATAGCAACCCTACAGGACAGAGTAGAACTGCCCCATACAGTTTCCAAGGAGCGCCTTGTGGAGTCAAACTGCCGAGCTTCAGTTAGCAGCCTGAGCTCTTAACCACTTCACCACCAGGGCTCCTCATTTGCCTTAGAAAGTAGTTTTTAATGAAAAATGCCATGATTATTTTAAAGGAAAAACAATTCAATAAAGTACAAAAAACAAAGTTAAAAATCACCCCCAAATTCCACCACACAGAAAGAACCACAGTTAACATTTTTTGAACAAGTCTAGATATCTCTGTGTAAATATGTATCAAGGACAGAAAGGCAAACACCATTTTACAAAAACTGAGATAATATCATCTATGCAAGCTTTAAATTTAAACTATTAGATTTAATTTTAGTTAAATTTAACAGAAGAAACTAAAATGGAATCAAAATAATCACTCAACTTCAGAAAAGTGTGTTTTTTTGTACATAGTTCATAAAGGTTCCTCTAAGCTAAAAATATATGCTGTATTATTACATATATAATATATAAGTGCATATGGTGTATGTATGTGTGTATACAAAGAGGGCAGGTCATTATTTTTACCTACATACTTCAACTTTACAGAGTATCTACTGACTCATTACAAAGATGAAGAAATTAACATATTCTACTTTGCACTCTCCTTCCGCCCCCCATTTTTGTTACATTACTATTTTAACATTGACAAGGTTCCTAACAATTACATTCTACCTCATAACTGTTTTGCATCAGTTCTATCTCAAAATGCATTCACTGTTTCTTGAATTCTTTATTTGGATTCATCTCAATTGGTAGAATAGTGCCAAAAAGGGCTTATGGCTGCTGTCTTCCCTGAATTCTTGTATGTTTGAGAATGTCTGCCTCGTACCTCTTCCTGAGAGTTGAACCTGAGTGAGTATGACATGCTTGGATTTCACACCTTCCCTCCCTCAGGACATGGAGACAGATGATTCGTACCCCACAGGCTTCTGACATTGAAAGTTGCTGTGAAGAACTCAGAGGCCAGCCTAACTGTTCTCCCTATAGACGATGTGCAAAGAGCAATTCTTTTTTCCCTGAAGTCTAGTAAAATCCATCAGGATTTACCTTACTATTCATCATTCTGCATCAGCTTTTCTTGGAACACAGTGTGTACTCTTGAATCCACAAATTCAGATGTGCAGTATAGAGTAATGCACGCCAGCTCCAGCACTTTGGCCAAGTCACAACCTTTCTAAACCTCCATTTCCTCATAGGCAAAATGGAGATGGCAACAGAACTTGTTTCTTAAGGTAGGCCGATGGATCAAGTGAAATAATGAATGGACAAGACACTCAGCACAGTACATAACTAGTGCTCAATTAAGCTTCCCTTTGTTGAAGAAGCTTTCTTAGATTGCAGGATTTTAGATTTTTTCTATTCCTTGTGTTTGTTGTTTGTTTTCTTTTTCAGAAATACTAAATTATACACACTGTCTTGATTACTGCAGCTTTGTGGTCAGTTTTATGAATGGGAAGTATGAGTTTCCCAACTTTGTTCTTTTTCACAACTGTTTTGGCTCTTCTGAGTCCCCTGCATTTCCATATTAATTTTTTGGATCACATTCCCAATTTCTGCAAAAAAAAAAAAGAGAGAGAGAGAAAGAGAGGGAGAGAGAGAGAGCTGGCATTCTGAAAGGATTAGGTTGAATTTGTAGGTCAATATGGAGAGTATTGGGTGCAAGTGGTTAAGCACTCGACTACTAACCAAAAGGTTAGTGGTTCGAGCCCACCCAGAGGCACCTTGGAAGAAAGTCCTGGCAACGTCCTGGCAACCTGCTTCTGAAAGGTCACAGCCTTGAAAACCTTATAGAGCAGCTCTATTCTGAAACACATGGGGTCACCATGAGTCAGAATCAACTGAACGGCAACTGGTTTGGTTTTGGTTTTGGCCATCTTAACAATGTTAACTCTTTTGATCCATGATCACAAGATGTGTTACCTTTTATTTGCTGTTGTTAGATGTTGTTGAGCCAGTTCCGTCTCACAGCGACCCTGTGTACAAAAGAACAAAACATTGTCCAGTCCTGTGCCATCCTCACAATTGTTGCTATGTTTGGGCCCACTGTTGCAGCCACTGTGTCAATCCATCTCTGAGGGTCTTCCTCTTTTTAGCTGACCCTCTACTTTATCAAGCATGATGTCCTTCTCCAGGGACTGGTCCCTCCTAATAACATGTCTTGCCATCCTCACTTCTAAGGAGAATTCTGGCTGAACTTCTTCGAAGACAGATTTGTTTGTTCTTCTGGCAGTCCGTGGTATATTCAATATTCTTCATCAACGCCATAATTCAAATACATCAATTCTTTGGTTTTCCTTATACTTTATTTAGGTCTTCTTCAATTTCCTTTAGCAATGTTCTGTAGCTTTTCCTATACAAGTTTTGCGCTTCTTTTGTTAAATTTATTCCTATATATTTTGTCTTTTTTGATGCTATTATAAATGGAACTGTTTTCTTAATTTCATTTTTGGACTGTTCAATTCTGGTATACAGAACACAAGTGATTTAGATATATATTGATCTCTTATCCAATAACCTTGCTGAATTCATTTATTCATTCTAGAAGTTATTTTGTCAGTGCATTCCTTAGGATTTTCTATATACAAGATCATATCACTGGAAAAAAGAGAGAGTTTTACTTCTTTTTTTCCAATCTGGATGGCTTTTATTTCTTTTTCTTGCCTAACTGCACTGGCTAGATCCTCCAATACAATATTGAACAGAAGTAGCTACAGCAACTGTCCTTGCCTTGTACCTGGTCTTAGGGAGATAGCAACCAGTCTTTCATCATTAAATATGTTGTTAGATGCGGGTTTTTCATAGATGCTCTTCATCAGGTTGAGGAAGTTCCCGTCTGCTCCTAGTTTGTTGAGTGTTTTTATCACAAAAAGGTGTTGAATTTTGTCAACTGTTTTTTCTGCAGCTATTGAGATGATCATGTAGTTCTGTCCTTTATTACATTGTATTACATTAACTGATTCCTGGATGTTAAATCAACTTCGTATTCCTGAAATGAATCTCACTTAGTCACAGTCTGAAATCCTTTTTATGTGTTGCTGGTTTCAGTCTGAGTTGCCCGTACCACATGACTAGCAAGTATCAGAGGTGGTGCGGAACCTGAGATCCACCTGACTCACACCTTGTTCCTCCTCTCTGTCCCATCAGTCCGTTTCTGCTTGCAGAACAAAGTCCAAAAGACAAGCGGTCAGAGCTGCCAAGATGAGGCTTTAAGTTATAAATGCGGGAGGAAAAAGACATAAAGGGGGAAGCAGAGGGAATGGCATAGCTCAGGGTTTACCCTGAAGTCCAAGCATCTTGAATTTAATTCCTTCCTCACAAAGGGCCTCTGGCACACAGGCCGGGTGGGAGCATTGTTTGCAGCGTTGAAGCCGCCTTTATCCTGTGGATAAACACTTCCCCGTGAGAAGACTTTGGCAAAAGCGTATGCTCCCCGACTGAGGAAGCATGATAGCATGGAGGACGGAGCCAAAGATTTTAGGTCA